AATAAACTTTCCTCTCAGGACTGCTTTGGCTGTGTCCCACAGATTTTGATAACTTGTGTCACGTTTGTCATTTAGTTCAAAAAATCTTTTGATTTCCATCTTTACTTCCTCGTTTATGAAGGAATCGTTCGGCAGAGGGTTGTCTAATTTACATGACTTTGTGTAGAGGTGAGACTTTCTGTTGGGGTTGATTTCTATTTTTATTCCACTGTGATCTCAGAAGATGCATGGTATGATTTCTATTTATTTAAATTTTTTGAGACATGCTTTGTGTCCTAGAATATGATCAATCGTAGGGAATGTCCCATGAGCTGATGAAAAGAACGTGTATTCAGTGGTTTTGGGGTAGAATGTCCTTTAAATGTCAGTCAATCCTATTTGTTCTAGAGTTCTGTTTAAGTCCATAATTTCTTTGTTAATTTTCTGTTTGGAGGATCTGTCCTGTGCTGTCAGTGGGGTGTTGAAGTCTCCGAATATTATGGTGTTGCTCTCTATCAATTTTTTTAGATCAAGTAGAGTTTGCTTTATGAATCTGGGTTCACCTAAATTGGGTGCATACATATTTAGAATTGTTAAGTCTTCTTGTTGAACTGTACCCTTCACCATTATATAGTGGCCCTCTTTGTCTTTCATTACTTTTATTGATTTATAACCTAATTATCTGAGATCAAAACTGCCCACCAGCCTTCTTTTGGCTTTCATTTGCTTGAAATATTGATTTCCACCCCTTTACCTTGAGTCTAAATGCATCGTTGCAGGTTAGATGCGTTTCCTGGAGACAGCAGATGCTTGGCTTATTTTTTTTAATCCATTTGGCCAGCCTATGTCTCTTGAGAAGGGAGTTCAAGCCATTCACAGTTATTGAGAGAACTGTTAAGTGGGGTGAATTACCGTTCATTCTGTTGGGTTGCATTTTGTTGCTTTGTTTTCTGTCTTGAGCCATTGTGGAATCTAGCCTTTGATCTTTATCTTTTGAGTGGTTTTACATTCAAGAGTGTTTATTGTGCTGATCCTTCTGTAATTTTGTTTTGAGTACTTCTTGGACAGCTGGTCTTGTCTTGGTGAATTCCCTCATTCTTTTCTTATCTGAGAATGTCTTTATTTCTCCTTCATATATGAAACTTAGTTTTGCAGGGTACAAGATTCTAGGCTGGGCATTATTGTGATTCAGAAGAGTGAGAATGGGGCCCCAGTCTCTTCTTGCTTGTCGGCTTTCAGTTGAGAAATCTGGAGTTATTGTGATGGGCTTTCCTTTGTATGTTACTTGTTTCTTTCACCTTACAGCTCATAGAAGGGCCTCTTTAGTGGATATTTTGGACAATCTGATGACTGCGTGATGTGGTGTCTTCCTATTTGCATTGAATCTCCCTGGGGTCCATTGAGCTTCTTGTACCTGTATATCTAGATTTTTAGCAAGGCCTTGAAAATTCTCCTTTATTAATTCTTCAAATAGCTTACCTAGCCCTTGCATGTTTTGTTCTTCAGCTTCCGGAATCCCTGTCACCCTCAGGTTCTGTTTTTTTCACATAATCCCACATTTCTTGTAGGCTTGTTTCTTTTCTCTTAATTTTCTGCTCAATCTCTGTGACCGACTTATTTACTTGGAAGGAGTTGTCTTCAATCTCTGAGATTCCTTCTTTTGTTTGATCTATCATGTTCTTGAGGCTTTCCATGGTGTTTTGTAGTTCCCTGGATAAGTCCTTTATCTCCAGGAGATCGGTTTAATTTTTCTTTAATATTTTAATTTCTTTAGTGAATGTTTCTTCCAAGTCATGGATTTTTTTGAGGTTTCTTTGTGTTGGTTATCCATTTTTTCTTGCATATCATTGAGTTTTCTTACAATCCA